TATGTTTCATAGGTGTTTCATGAATCTCCACGAGGTAAGTGACAGTAAAGGATTTATCATGATAAATAATTTGTTATAATTATGCTCCATTAGTCGTTTTTATCTTTTACCAACATTTACTTCTGTAACAGTGAGATAGTGTAACGTTTTTACTGGGCTAGTGTAGCTCATCCCTTACTTAACCATTTCAGATCAGGAGGATTTGGTTCCCGAGTCCGTTCCGCAAGAAGACAGCGAGTAGATGCTAAAGATTTTATAGTTTTCCTTATAGTATTCATTTCTAGTATTTACTTTAGTTAGCTTATTCTTTCATACGTTTAATACGTTTTGGTTATTGTGTAAGGGATGTTAATCATAATATTTCATTTCGCTTTTGTACTTAGAATTTTTATATATACGTTTTCTGTTAATTTTCGGGGCCGTTACAGTTGGTATCAGAGCCGCGTTCCTTGGACTTGTCCCTTACACAATAATACTTAGAGAAATACCAACCGATGAATCGTTACTTAACCCTTCCTTGTGAAATGCAGGTGCAGAGAGATGAGGAGAGAGAGGAAGACCCCCACTAAACCGGTGGTAAGGGGCCACCGAGATAGGCTAAGTGTTAGGCTGAAGATCTATGGTGAACTCAACTTCCCTATCTACCCGCAGTCTGGGTAATTTGTCAGAAAATACATCAAAGAAGTCTCAGACTACTAGGATCTCTTGAATGCAAAATTCTTTCTTAGATTTGCCATGTATCACGTCTGGATTGACTTCAGTATCCAGCTGGGTGAGGGTATAGGCTATGCCCTATACTGGAGGTCTGGCCTGATTTTAATTCCGCAGACACTCTCTCGCATAGTGCTGGATATTTCTGCAGATGCGACATGTGTTGTTGAGGCGATAGTAGGGTCGATCCTCATGATCCTTACCATAGTGCTTACAAGTCCTATTGAAGAGGAACTAGATTGTGTTGGGGAGGGGTTAGGTGATTGTGGTGGTATCCGGTTGTATGGCGGGGCACCAGATTGTACTGTGGCAGTGTCAGATGATACGGTGGAGGGGTAAAATTGTATTGAGATGGAACTGAATCCGCTCGTTGTAGGGGTGGCTTATACTGTGGTAGTGGTGGAGGGTCAGACAGCTCCCTCCTCTCTTCTCTGGCCTGCTGGGCAGAGATGAGTCTCTCTAACATCTCAAAGAGCCGATCAACATCCTCTCAAAGTGACCCATCTCGTGCTGCCCTGTTCAATAGCTTGTACTTATTTTTCACAACGAATGATTAAGAGAGTTTATATTTGGTGTTTTTAAGTCTCTGTGTAAGGAATGGTTCCAAAGAACACGACTCTGATACCAACTGTATAAGTCCAGAACTTAAATAAGAAATAAATTCATAAATTCAATGCGAAAGCGATTAATGGAGTTAGGGTTTACATTCCTTAAATAATAATTTAGAATACCCAATAGGGCTACAAAAATGTTCCTTCTAAAAGACAACAGTAATGAAAAGAAGAATGAATACAAAAATGCCATAGGACAACCTTCACTAGTACTTGAAGGGAGTCCGTGGAGTGAACTACTCACAACCCTCTTGCTAATCGGGATTTGCGTCTTGGTTCTCTTGATATGAAATGATTAATGAAAAGGTGAGTTATACTAGTCCAGTATGAATATCACACTAATCACAGATACGAAAAACTAAAGAATGGTAAAAATAATAAAAAACAACTAATGGAGCCCTTAATTTATTTTAATTCATTCAATATAAAGAAAACTATTTATTCTGTACTTACTGTAATGAGTCTATTTTCTAAAGACAACCTATGAAGACTCATATTCATACCACTTTTTACTTTCACGCATAGGAGAATAAGAGACGATAACTTTCCTTTCTTACTAACTTACTGGTACTCCTGGGGGTCCATAGGGATGTCCCCTTACTCGTGAATCCAATATCTAATTCAAATTAACCAGTCATCCCCATACTCCGTCTGGTAATGAGTGTCAAACATTTCATCGCATCGATACCCCGTCTGGTATGAAAGTGAACCATATCTCTCAAACCTTCCCGGTAAGAGAATTTCCAGCCCCATTCGACTGAGTTAACATTCACGGTAGGGTTCCCTAGGTATCGGGCCTGTCCATCTTTTTTCTCGGTACTCAGTAAGTCTTTCACATAAAGATTTTTATCAACAAACAGTTAACAAATGCATACAAATTTTTCACATTACATTCATAGATCAATTAGACTATATTTATGTTGACGGGATATAACTGAAATAACCAAACAAATTGTAAGACCATTGAACCGTAAATTAAAAATATGTACTATACGAAAATCATGCAAGTAGAATAGTATAGAAAAATAAACAAGAATCAAGATAATTGTGAACTAACCGGTTCCAACTCTATTAGTGATCTGTAATTATTTTTAGAATTTTTTAATTTTTATAACAACACAAAACTATACATCG